ACATAAAACAAAATGAGCAATTTACTGTCATTTTTAAATGATCAACTAAGAAAATTGTTGATATAGGAAAAATATCAATAGAACAATTTTAAATATCCTATTTGCTCCATTCTGAGATTCTGAACATAGTGAATGATTGAATCTGACAAACTGTAAAGATATGAGTTTATTTCCATTTTTGAAACTTTATTACACAATACACAATAACAGGTTTACCATCATTTTTATATAATCAACTAATAATATTGTTAAGATGCAGAAAATGTCAAAAGAACACCTTTATATATCTAATTAGTTGAAAAATGAGACTGTTAACGTGCCTAAGAATTAAATCTGAAGAAAAAACACTTATATTCAAAAACAAGGCATAACTTCAACAAAACTTAACCAATCAAGCTTATTTTCTAAGTAAATCTGTATTTCAGTAAGACTGATCACTCCTGTGAATTTCTAGACAATTGGCTAATTGATTTTCCTTGAAATGTGTTATCGGTGGTGCATATACAGTATGCCGAAAAAAGTTAAGAACCAGAATAGCTTCTATATAAATATCCTGACAATGCCAATTTTCTAACTTGACCTGTGTACTATGAATACATCAGTTCTGTAAGTTTCAATCCAAATGTAAAAACGGTTTTCCACATATTGTGTTATGGGTGTTGCACATATGCTGGAAAAAAGTGAAAAAACAGCATAACTTTTATAAAAATGACACGATCATGCTGATTTTCGAACTTGACCTGCGTATTATAAATATTCATCAGTTCTGTAAGTTTCAAGCTAAAAGGTAAAGCATTTTTTCACTTATTGTGTTATCGGTGTTGTATATATGCTGAAAAAAATGTAAAAAATAGCATAATTCTTTCATAAAAATGGCCTGATCAAGCTGATTTTCAAATTTGACTTGCGTATTATGAATATTCATCAGTTCTGTAAGTTTCAAGCCAAAAGGTAAAAAGGTTTTCCACTTGTCGTGTTATCGGTGAAAGTGCACGGCAACGACAGCGACGACGGAGACGACAGATGCAGGTGAAGGCTATTTGTACAGACACATGTGTCTGTACATAAAAACAATACACAAAAGGGAAAAACACTCACTCACACTTGAGAGAAAATGCACACCAGCCTTAGAAGAGAAACACGACAACCAAACAAGCGTGTCCTAAATAGGGCATATGAAGGTTTTGGTTCTAGCCTCAAAGGGCATTCAACTTTCAAGAACGACCTAGAAACATGAGCGTAAGAGGAATATGACAGAAATGGAAAAGGGAGTATGACATGGTGGTACTTACCCATATCCAGTAGCTTGGGTTTCAGTCCATTTACGATTTATTTTTCTGCGGCGGTTATTCGAGGTCCGGGCTAAGAGCTGAGTATTATTTGTACATGCACATTTCCCAGAGCGAAGAGTTCGCATTGATTGAAGGGTCGAATTCACAGAATCACATTCGATGTTTTGTGCTAGTAAAGAAACTATCCTCAGGTGCGATGCATTGGCGTAGGATCACATGAGATTTGAAGGCGGTTGCCCGAGAAAAAAATCGCTCTCACTTCGCGTCCTTTGTACTCCTCTGGGGTGAAACGCAACATGTCCATCCCGCTTCACAATTGCCCGCTCTTAGACTTCCAATCTTAGATTGTCGGCTGGGGGCGTTGCTGTCGTCAGAATGAGACCCAAATTTAATTAATGCATTGTATATATACCTACATTTAAAATGCATTCAGCGTTTTCATACCTAAACTATTTTGTTTAAACAGAAAAAAACGCGCATTTACCTCGGAGGGAAGAATCAATGTACGGCTATAATAGTTTTTGGAGGGAAACCACGCATGCCTCTCCCCCAGTTATTATTAGTGTCCTTGCATCTTGTTGACATGATATCAACCTGAAGTTTATAAACCTGCCCCAGGCCATCATTGGACGACCTTGTCCGCTTACACTGGGACACTTATTCACAATATACACTGATCCACAATGCACTTTGAAGAAACTTTCACTTCATTTCTTGTTTCACAGATGATGATAATAAAGATAAAGTGATAATACATTTTTGCTATAAATATTTATGTGGAGTTGTCTAGTTTTTTGGTAGCATTAATTTTTGAAGGAGAAAGGATAACGCAAGGATAATATACTTGGTGTGATTTAATGTTTTAGTTACTTTTTACATTTGCTTAAATATTTTAACTACTTCTTATATTTGCTTGAAAGAAGATG